GCAGTCGAAATGGCGCTCCGGGGCGAAAGCTGCCTACCCGTCTCGGAGAAGAAGGTGCTGAAGCCGTGGTCGTCGTTCAGGGCCTTGCGCTCCTCGGTGAGGAAACCATCGGGCTGGATGCCGTGCTCGAGGCAGTAGAGCTGGAAAGCCGAGTCAGTATATCGCGCACTGGCGGTGAGCTATCCGCAGCCCCTTCTTCCGGCGTAGAATGGGATGCAGCAGCAGCAGCGCGTGTCGTCGGGTGCAACTCACCTCCCAGCAAGAGTTTGCGATCTGGCAACCGGCCTGGCCGACTAGACGCGTACAAAGTCAGCATCAACAAATAGCCAGGGATGTCCCGCTGCAGGCGGTCAGGGCGCGCATGGCGCAAGGGACGACATACCGTTCAGACTGATGACTTCTCTCATGGTGGCGTAGAGCAAAGGTAGTAATTGGGGTATCGAAATGGAGTCTCGGGGGAACCTGGGCGGCGAGGGTTGAAGCTGCTGTCGGTGGGAGTGGAGCAGTGGGGGAGAAGTGCTGTTGTGTTGTGGAATCGAACTTTTAGGCCAAAAGGGTCCGCCTATCACGGACCACGGCGCTAAGCTACACGTCCAATGCAGCTGCCTGGCCGTTGCGCGAGAAACACGACCTCATCGGACGAATTCAAGCCTGTTGTTCCTCTGCCTGCCTATGGCGCTGCTCTGGCCGACGTGAGAGACAATGAATGGCGGTCCTCCCAACTCTCCCCCATCTTCACGTGCTGTCCGCCAAAGATGCGCCTCTCCGCCGGGCTGCTCTGCATCGTCACGCAGGCCTGGACGGTGAATGCCAACGTCGAGAAGACGATATTCCTTGGTCCCAGCCCTGTGACTCTCTCCAATGTCCGCCCCGGGCTAGATGACCTCGGCCTGCACTACCTGTCGCCCTCGTCCACCATCCTCCCGATCCGAGTCCCTGTCCAGTTTCCCACCGAGTCGCTGCCCCGCGGTCTCGAGTCCTGGTACTTGCTTCGCGGCCTGCAAGACGGCAGGAGGTACGAGGTGCGCATCTGCTGGCCGGCCACCGTGAGTCTACTGCTCCTTCCCGTTGCATATCGCATGCATCGTCTCACATGATTGTTTGTACTGACCTGCCCAGCAACCCACCGACTTCTGGCTTGACACTTACTCAGTCACCCACGTATTTGATACTCCCGAGTTCATATCTTCGTTATCAGAGTATAACTCAGTCATTCGACGCGACCCAGTGGACGACGACGGAAACACCAAGGAAGCGCCGCCCGCAGCTCCAGAGTCGGTACTGTTCTTGCGCCTCCAGGCTGCAGCGTCCTACTATTCGACCAATCGCACATTGATGGACTACCCGCCTCCAGTTGATGCCGATATCAGTACGTCTAATCCCACTAACATGTCATGCGTCGTCTAACAACCATAGTACTCGATCCCTTCATACTGAACGTCTTCCCACAATCACTTGGCCCAATCGCGATATACATTACCGCAGTCGCTCTAGGAGCCTGGTTTCTCTCCGGCCACATCTACCGCTGGCTGCTTTCCGTCGCTGCCGAGTCACCCAGCAAACCTCACACCGATTGAGCAGCCACCTCATACAAGAAAAAAACTGAACAGGTCTGCAGACTACATCAAGTCAAAACCTTGCAAAGGCGGTGACCCAGCGCCAACGTAGGCTCCAGGCTGTTCGTTTTTTTTTAGGTTGGCGTGCGCTTGTCATTCACGCACTTTCACGCAACAATGTCTGCAGCGCCTCCGCCTCCACCTCCACCTCCGCCGCCACCGCACAAGCCACCGTCTGATGACAAATGCGATAGATTGTTCAATCTCCTTCCCGCCGAACTGCTCCTCATGATAATCAACTACGCGGGTGTCGGTAGTATTATGAACCTTGCTCTAGCCATCTATCCTACCCTGCAGCGGCATCGGATCGCCCCGGAGCTTAGTGCGCACACCTACTTCAGCATAGTACGTGTGGATAGGACCTCGAATACAAGCAACAGAAGACGACCCCTACCGCAAGGTCTCGATCGGATGCCCATGGAGCTGTGGTTTCAAGTGGCTCGAGATCTAGAACCAATCGACATCCTGTCCATGATGTTCGCTATCGGCGCATACCCGCGAGACTCGCTTACCCAGGAGACAGCGGAGAGGATGAGGGATTTGAGCTTGAACTGGTGCGGGAAATCAAAGAAAAAGGATTGACAAACTATGGCTGAAACGGGATGCGATAGCTAGACAGATACCATACCATACAATGAAAAAGAGCCGAACATGCCTAGAGCCTACATTGACGTTAGGTTACCTACTTTGCATGTTTTCATGTTGATGTAGGCTGTAACCACAAAAACGTAGGTTGCGGCCTGTTCAGTTTGTCCCTAGGTTGACGTTACCCGAATAGCTCGATATGCGAGCGGCAAGCGTATCTAGGGTTTGCTCAGACACTGGTGCTTGCTGTCGAACACACCCTGATCTTTCGACTCTGGACCAGGGTCGGTACCTGGAAGAATTGTGAACGTTTTGGACTCTGGAAGAGGAATGAGCAGGAGTACGATGGTGCAAACGGCCACAGCTGTATGATGTAGAGTATGAGCCTGGAACAGATCGAACTTGAGCAGATCGCTGAGCTTCTACGTGAGAACAACGCCATGCCCACCAACCATCCTACTTTGCACGCACCTCATACAAAACTGAACAGGTCTGGAGCCTACATCGACGCCAGGTCATGTATTTTGTAAGCTTCCATGTTGATGTAGGCTGCAGGCCTGTTTAGGTTCTTGTTTTTCTTAGTTGACGTGCATATGAGGCTGGAAGCATGCTGCACGGACGTTGACGGCTCAACAGATGCCAGCTCCTCACCCACCGCAGTTGAGCGACGCTAAAGATTACCCCATACCCAAACACGCCCTAGGGCGTTCATTAGTCACAATCCGCCGCGCTCGTCCCGTGAAAAAGTTCCTGGGTCCTGTAAACCTCGGTGCTTCGCAATCATCTCATCTTGAATATTGTTAGAGGAATCCTTCCGTGGAACAAAAGCCACAATGGTGCTCACGGACGAAGAGCAGCCTCTGCTCAGAATAATATCGCATGACTACGAAAGCGTCCAACAAGAGAATGATGCCGAGGAAGCTGGAAATGACGCGCTTGATTTTGAGCCTCTGGACCCTGAGGACCCTCGCAACTGGTCGCCAGGTTTCAAATGGGGTATCGTTTTGTTGCTTGCTCTTATGGCGTTCACCGTGTATGCATATTCTCCCAGCACTCCAATTGTCAAAAGAACTTCGACGCTGACCATGTCTACAGAACGTTTACTTGCATTGGCGTGGTACCGGTCGCCAGCAAGATCGTCTCGGATCTCGATGGAAAGCAATCGAGCTCTGCAAACAGCGCGCTCCTCGTGACTATCTGGGAACTTGGAGAAGCCGCTGGACCATTACTTATCGCACCGTTATCGGAGATTTTTGGACGCTATCCTGTCTTCAACGTTTGTAACATCGGCTTCATCGCTGCGACTATCCTAGCAGTTTGCAGCCAGAACAGCGGCATGTTCATTGCTGCGAGGATGCTCACAGGTCTTTGCGTCGCTTCAAACGTCCTCAATCCAGCCATTATCGGAGACATCTTCGAGAGCGAGCAACGCGGCTCCGCAATGTCTTTGGTTATGCTTGCGCCGCTCATTGGAGGAGCTATCGGCCCTGCCATCTCTGGCACCATCGCAGAGACGATAGGGTGGCGACGCATGTTGACCATCGCCGCCGGACTAGCTATCGTGTGCGAAGTTCTGTTCCTCGTCTACTTCAGAGAGACGTACAAGATGGCTGTTTTGAGAAGAAGAGCAGCGAAGACGATGCAGGAAACTGGAAAGGTTCCGGAGTCGAAGAGCACGCATGAGTATCTAGCAAAGCTCTGGCACTCTATCACCAGGCCTTTTGCGGTCTTGTTCGGTTCGAGCGTACTCATGCTTCTCTCGCTATTTGCCTCGGTCGCGTTCAGCTTCTTTTACGTTGTCAGCGTTTCATTACCCTCGATCTTGCTTGACAGGTATGACTTCAAGTTCGGCCAGATTGGTTACACTTTTATCTCGTTCAGTAAGTATCTTGATATGCTTGAACCCACGGCAGCTAACAGATATCTAGGCGTCGGATCTTTCTGCAGTGTATTAGTATGCAACTTTACGCTCGATAGGATATACGTCAAGCTTCGCGGGCCCGATGGCGGAAAAGGAAAACCAGAGTACCGCCTTCCTCTTTCTATCCTGGGTGCGATCCTCTTGCCTTTCTCGGTAATCGCATACGGCTGGATCGCAGAATACCGTCTGCCTGTACTCCTGCTTCTCGCCTCGGTGGCCCTGATGGGGTTCTCGCTCCTTCTGACTGTTATACCGTTATCTGCTTACGTCGTTGACGCTTGCGGTATGTACTCCGCATCGGCTATGACGGGCGTCATCGTCACGCGATGCCTTATGGGCACCTTCCTGCCACTCACGACTGGTCCATTGTCTGACGCACTTGGTTATGGGCTAGGCTTCACTCTTTTGGGCGCACTGAGCTTGTGTTTGGTCATCATCCCGTTATGCATATTCAAGTTTGGGGAGAAGTGGCGGCAGCATTCAGAATTCACGAAAGACACTTGAAGCACCTTACACAGGAAAAAAAACTAAACAGGTCTAGAGCCTACATTAACGCTAGGTTAACTACTTTGTATGCTTCTATATTAATGTAGGCTGCAGGCCGATCTAGCCTTTTTCTTGATTGACGTAGAAGGGTAAGAAGCTGCAACGTTAATTCCTGCCATACAAACATATTGTGTAAAAGCCACTTCCTCAAGTTCGCATAGCTCCTACGATCTATGTCCGCACTTTCTGGGAAAGTACCCGTCATCGATGCCGTACAAAAGCTGCACCGTGCCTCCGTTTTCCGTTCCTTTTCTGCACTCCATCATCAACAGCCACAAGCTTGCTGATCAAATCCGAGCACATCCTTCCAGTATCCACAAGCTTAGCACGCCATGAAGTTCTTTACCTTAGCTCTCGCAACTCTGCTAGCCCAGACGGTCACGATCGCCCAAAGTCTGTTCAAGCACCAGTCCAATGGCTTCCGTCTTATCCTCAAGTCAATCGACAAAAACTTCAATGAGTACATACGACCACCCTTCAGCCCTTTTCTTCATCCTGACAGATAGCAGCCACGCACTCGGAGTTTGCCATTGGTCCGCAGTCCACGAAGGCCTATGCCTGTACGATGACACGACTGCCACCCCTGCACGTCCCCCCACTACCTTCTACCACAACGTATCCTCCTACGACGACATCCAGGGTATTCTCAACTGGCCCCCGCCTCTTTGGGGCACCGATGATCCCGTCTCGTCCGCAATGCAGTTCGACTATGTTGCTGGGACCAATCTCGTGTACGCGACTTTCACGCCCGGGACCGACACATACCAACTGGTGTGCTTCGAAGAGGGCAGCGCTAGCATGTACATTGCAATCGCCGGAGATGATACTCGCAAGGCCCCTGATTGGGTTGATCCACCGAAAGAAGGTCAAGAATTGGTATCTGTGTGCTATGAGGTTTGACTCTAGGCAGTTTTCGCTGGCATGGAAGATAGGTTTTGTGGGCGAGCCGCAAAATCCCATGTGTTGGAAGGTCGACGTAGTGAGGGTGTGGGTTTGAGGAGATAAGGATTCAAGATGTTTTGTGCTTCCCGGGTGTCAGTGCGGGACTATCTGATTCTTCTCGCGAAGGAAGGAGTCCGTTGCGGTTGACTGGACTGTTCTGGCGACGGGTGTAGTAGTCAAGGTGTCTTTTCATTGTTTGAATTTTGCCTTTTTGTTCCAGTACACGCAAATAGATTCTTCATCTTTTCAGGCTCATCAACGCAGGACGTTTTGAACCTTCCTCGGAACGGCACGACGCTATCTAGGGCTGCGAGCTGAATGCGATACGCGAGCAGCTACCATACGGCTTCCACTGCGTTTATTCCGTCCCGAACTAACCTCAGTATCTGGGTATTTGGGCTATACTTCTTCCAAACGAGCAACTACGCATGTAGCCGAGACCCGCCACCACTCTCTTCCTCAACTGACCACACAAGGTGATCATATCAATGAAAAGAAAAATTGTAGCCCCCCGCGGGGACTTCCGCCGAGATCCGTTGCTCACGCCAAATGAACCTGGTTCTCGCCCACTGATCAGTAGGGACAACATGCCTGGAGTTGGCGGAGATGATAGTGAGTAAGGGACCTGTCGATCCTCAGCTCGCACCTGGACACCTCGCCGGTAGATGAGAGTAGAACGGCCTGTTCTACCTGGTAAGTATGGATGTCTTCAGTGCGAACCAAGGAAGAGAGGACGCAACATCATACTATCGCTGACAAGAGACCCCCACCTCAAGACGGCAGTAGAGAATAGCTTTTGACCCGGCTGTTCAAACAGCAGAAGCTAACCCCCGCCTTAGAACCGGAAAGAATTCTCCCTGGCACTGTTGAAGTGCCCATTTAAACGGACGAGTGGTGTGAAAGGAGAACCCTACGAAGACTCTCAGCAGCGATAGGATGGGGTTGCGGATAAGAGAAAGGAAGAAACCACGGCGCCAAACTGCCGTCGTCAAGAGTCCAATACCAATATCATCGAGCAGTACCAGGCGTGTAAGATACTTCCGAAACTGTTGAAGGTTCGTTGCTCTAAAAAGACCGTCGACGGCGGTAGTTAGGCGTGTGGGTGGGTTAGAAGAAAGAAGTAGCTGGGCGGGCACAATATATGTCCAGTGGCGGGCGCACGAGCCCACTCCTATGACGTCCTCAGGGAATATAGTCCAGGCAGCAAAGTGAGAGCGCGCCTCAGTCTAGTGGATCCAAGGCAAAGTGATAGTGAGTGAGCAATGAGTTCGAAGGAGGGAGTGGGAGGCAGCATTTCTCGATGTATACTACTCAGGTACCAGTACAATGTAGCAGATGAAGCCAACCTCGCTACTTCCTCGTCTTGGTAGCTCAACATCTCACCATTACGTGATGCTGTTCCTCTTGACTTCTCGTGCTACCAGTGCTACGATACCTAGATAATGTCGGCCGCTCAGGATTTAGCTTCAAGGTCTGACCAGCATCCTGAATCTCGACATGTTGTTGTTCTGATTCGGACATTCGGGATAGCCCAGCGGAAAGTGAAGTACGGAGTAGTACTGACCTAGGTGGTATGTCTGAGCAGGCCCGTGCGTTCTCGCGCATCAAGCATCGCCCACCAGAGCGACATGATCAACCTCACGACCCGCTCAACCCACGCCACGATGAAGACGTCACTCGCCACCCTCTCGTCTTTCGCGACGCTCACAAGCGCTGCACGTCTGCTGCTACAAATCCCGAACTCGGTCCTTGTCAATCCGTCCACGCTCCCCTCGACCACGCACGCAACGCTCCAGTCCTCCGGCCCGCCCCTTGATGCCTATCTCACGCGCTCCAACACGTTCAACTTCAACAATGTGAGCGCCGGAAGCTACCTTGCTACCGTGCATTGCCGCGACTATGCGTTCGAGCCATTGAGGATTGATGTCACCGTGGAAGAGGCGGCAGAGGGCAGCGGGGAGAAGAAGGAGATGATCAGGGCATACCAGACCTTCCTGGGTAACGAATGGGACAACAAGGGAGAGAGCCGCGGCGAGGGCGGTAGCGGTTTGGTGGTTGAAGCCAGGCCGGTAGGAACCAAGTACTTCTACCAAGAGAGGCAAGGCTGTAAGTTGACATCGCCACAATGCGCAATGGGGATATTGTGCTAACACGCCGCAGTCTCACCGCTGTCATTCTTGAAGAATCCTATGATTCTCATGGCGATAGTGTCCATGGGCCTCATCTTCGGCATGCCCAAACTGATGGAGAACAGTAAGTCTCTCGGCAGCCCATTAGGTACTGCCAAGGTTACTGACACATGCGTAGTGGACCCCGAGATGAAGGAAGAATTCGAGGAGATGAAGAAGAACGGCGTCCTGGGCTCCGGAAACACCAACACTGCATCGCAGTTACAGAACTTTGACCTCGCCTCGTGGATGGCCGGTAAGACCGACTCGGGCAGCGCGAGCGCACGTACACAGAGTCCTGCAGGGCAGACGAAGAAACGATAGACAGCGGACACACAGAGTCTCGGAGGACAGCGAAGCGCTCAGGTCCTTCGACACAGAGTATGCCTATATCGGCAGCGAGCAATATACACTATCAACAAGCTAGGACTGTGTTCTTGACTTATAGAGGAAACGCATATACTGCAGCGATTCGTCCGCTCCATGAAGGCCTCATACGCAGTCTCCGGCATGAGCAGGAGGAATCTCACAGAATCAGACATCCGGCGACTGCTAGCGGTATCCGCATGCGCATGTTCCTATCGCTTCATGTTGTCTTTCCGACCTAGCTGTCTGGGCAAAAGCCATCACAATGCTTGATTCCTGACTAATCTATGCAGGATCATACAGATAGCTGAGGAGCCTCTCGTCGTAGTCAGACTTCATAGGCATCTCTCGCTCCTTCCTCATCAGTTAGGAACCAAGAAACCAAAGCAGCCTGTCTCACACAATCCTGCTACATCTTGGAGCTGTCATTTCGTAAATCGACATTAGCTGAACTCCAGCTTCCGCCCCGCAGCTTACCCAAGTGTTGTAGCTGCTTATTCACGCTCTTGACTTTCCATCTCGACCAATCGGGTATGCGCTAGCCCCCGTAGAAGCAAGCCACACTCTCGACCCAGCGAGACAGCGTCGGTACAATCGCGTTGCACAGTTCATATAGCGTATCTGGGATCCTCTCTTTATCTCTCCCAGTTATTTGCGCCTTCACCTACTTCGTGATGAGCAAGATGGCTGGTATTCCGCACATGCCGGCTGCTGACATGGACGATCCAACAAGCACGACAACAAGCGCACAGCATGATCCTCACCAGCACCATCATGCACACATTGGTCACCACACGGGCAAGAGGCTGAAACACTTTCTGAGACCAGATGGAAGAAAGGTGCACATTGCGAGTTCCCCCGATGAAGCAAATCACATGAGGAGGAAGCTGAGCAATGCGAGCGAGAAAGAAGACTTCGACCTAGTCATCCATGGATCTCCCGAACATGTTAGTTCTACACAAGAATTAGAGAGTCATGGCATGGAACAATCGCTCTACTAACGCACACAGATCGAAGCACTCCGCCACACCCACGCCCACCACACTGCGCACCACCGCCAACTGCACCAAGACCATGGCGACCTAGCCCAAGAATTCGAGCGCGTAATCCGCGACCTCGACACCCTCTCCACCGAACTCCACATGCTAACCTCGCACGCCGTGCAACTCGACGCCAACTTCTCCAAATACGGTTACTCAGCCCATCTACGCACCAAAGAAGACGGCCCATCAACAGACTCCCTCGCTGAGTCCTCCTTCGATAAAGAAACATGGCACTCTGATCGTCAACACGGTACAGCAATCCACTTCTACCAAAAGCCTATCGTACGACAGTACTTCCACAAGGGGCTCCTCTGGCGCGCAAAAGAAGCACAGGAAGTGGCTAGCTACGAACTCTTCATTGACCTCTTCTACGTGGGCATCATCGCCATAACAGGCGATTCTGCAGCTGAACATCCAACCGCGCAGTCCTTGCTCCGTTTCACAATCACTTTCATCATGGGCTGGAAATTCTGGACGGACATCGGAGTGCTGGTGTCGTGGTTCGATAGCGATGATGTGATCAGGCGGGTTTCTGTACTCTTTCTGCTAACGTGTTTGTTGGGCTTTACGACGAACATGGTTGAGGCGTGGGAGAGAACGTACGCACCGCTTGTAGGATTCTATCTCGCGGCGAGACTGTTTGTGACGAGCTGTTGGTTTTGGTACGCATGGCGTATCCCCATGGTGAGGGGGAGTATGTTGGGGAATGCGTTACTTTCTTTGATACCGGCGGTGCTTTGGATGGCGAGCGTGAGTGTGGAGGAACCGAAGCGACAGGGACTTATTTGGGTGGCTATCTTGTTCGATCTTTTCGGCCAGTTTAGCATGGTGTTGCTTCAGCGGCCGGGATCGCCCATCGCGCGCTTCGTGCCTGAGTCGTGGAAGAGGAGTCTGGAGTTCTATCCCGCGACGAATATCGAGCATCGAATTGAGCGGACGAATGCGTTCGTTACGCTGGTGTTTGGGTCTTGTGTATTGGGCTTGCTGTATCAGAGTAGTGTGGCGATGGGTATCAATGCGTTCTTTGGAAAGGCGGTGCTGGGTTTGGTGCAGACGTTCGTGTTGAATTGGGTGTACTTTGAGATTGACTCGTTCAATCTTCATACACATGCTATCCGCCGACATGTGTTCTCTGGTAAGTCAGACCCCCAAACGCTCCCACGCCGATAATAACGATCAACCAGCTTTGACATGGTTCTCCGCCCACCTCCCTTTCATCATGTCTTTCGTCCTATCCGCATCAGCCCTCGGCGTCCTAGTCCGCGCCCACGACGCCGCCTCCGCACCCCTAGAATCTCTATCAGAAACCTTCGTTTCCCGCTCCGAAGACCACATCTCCGATGGCCTAGTCTGGTTCTACTGCGGCGGTCTAGGCATCTCG